ATCCACTCCTGCAACTACATCCGCATTGATCATGTTTACATATCTATCCTGGCTAAAATGGGGTTCTGCATAAGGATCCAGCCACGTGGATGAATGAGGCTTTATTAGATGGTAATATTTTTAAGCAGGGATTTTTTTTGTGTCTGTAAAAGTTAATGCATCCCTAAAGGACTATTGAAGTGATATATAAACATAATTGTTTGTTAAATGTTGACAGCATGCTTGGTGATTATAAAAAATAAAGGAAAATGTGGTTCCTTATTCATAGAGTTTATATGTGAACTCCCATTACAGTTTAACTGTATTGTGAAAATTTAATTTGTCTCAAACCTTAGCGCCAAATAATTTGTTGCTCACAATTGTACTTAGGTGAAGTTAGTAAAGTATTCTTTATTACTATAGAGAGAAAATTAAATTAAATTTCAACCACATGCTACAGTAGCACACTTATATTTGGAAGTGTTTTGGAATTGCATAAAAGGGGGTTGTTAAAACCTGATGTAAACAGGCTAAATCCACTTGGAAGCAGATATAGCAGAGCCTCATCATACTACAGAGAAGTCCAAATGGGTTTAACTAGGAGTAATGGAATAAATAAAGCAAAAGCTTAATGTCAGAACACTTGTTGAAGTAGTACGGTCTGACTGTGGAATAGTCTCTCAGTGGAAGTTATGGAAATATTCTTAGTGAAGCCCATTTAAAACTAGATTTGAATATATGCTGTAGGGAACATTCTTGCATTGGCAGGGAGGCTGAAAAGATTCTCTAATAAGCCTTTCTTCAGTCTTTAATTTCTGTTATTCACTGCAGAGGTAGCGTGAGAACACACTTTCAAAGGGTATAGTATAAAAGAGGTCTAGTGTATAAATCAACACGGAATTCTAAGAATGTAAAATGGCATCTACAACATCTGTGGGAAATTTTCTACCTCTGTAATTAGTGCAGACAAAAATGAATCAGTTAAAGTATCTTTCACTGAACTACTGTTCTTCCATTACTTAGTGTTAAACCAAACACTGGATGACTGAAATCTAGAAATACTTTTGGAGCGATTTTGTGTGTGAGGGGGAGAGAGAAAGTGAATGTCAGATTCATCGACCATTTCATTTTGCAAGAAGTGATTGTCCTTTGGGTTTCCGTCAGTGTGGATCCCAATGTAGGTGCACATGAGACTGGGTTTTTTTTTTTGGAATAGCCGTGTCCCTGCTCTGTGCTCCCATGTGAGGGTATAAAGAGTGGGGTGGCCGTGACACTCCCTAAGTTCCCTCTTATCACCCATACCAGTGAGATGGAATCTAGTTGGTGTGCAACTGCTAGACTTTAGGTTTGGCCAAACTTCTTAAAAATTTTCTGAAACTCTTCAGAACTACTTTTTCCTGTATTTTGATCACTCTAATCTGTTCTAGTGCTTGTTGAACCAAAAACCACTAAGCAGACAGGGACTTAGAATTGGTGGACTCAAAACCTGCAGGCATCTGTGATGAACTAATTCTTCTGAAAGATGGGCACAGCATATACCTGTTCTGCTTGGGAGAGTCCCACATCCCAGGCAAGGGCTCAGTCTGCCTCTGCTTCTCTGAAAGAACCTGCAATTTGAAAGGCGTGAGGCTGAAGCTCCCATCTGCAGGAGCAATCTGTGGTTCTGTGTCAGGATCGTGACCAGGGCTGTTGGGACTAGGGGTCAGAGCAGGGTCACACTTGAGGCTGAGAGCAGCATAGGAGTCCATAGTCAAGTTCCAAGCCAGGGTCGATACTAAGGATTAGAGTCCAAGTCAACTTTCAGGGTCTGAGTCAGGAGGTGAGGTCCAAATCGAGGTGAGGTTTAAGCCAGGAGTTCAAGAGGTTCAAGAACATGGAGCAGGAGTGGTCAGTAAAGCTACAGGAGATCTGTGCTGTTGCCTGGACACTTCCTGGAACATCCCTTTGGTTTATAGAGAGTCAGGAGCCAGGAGGTTGCTGTCTGTCAGACCCCTTGAGGTGGGGCTTCCTTTTGTCTGTGTCCTCCGTGGGTCATGGGTAGTGGAGCACAAAGTTATTATAGCTCCCACTGGGTGGCGGCATGGAGATGTCCTCTGCCTAGCAGCTCTTCAGGCCTGGGTTCAAGACCCAGAATATAAGGACAACTAGATCTGATTCCACTTTCAATCTCAAAGACCTCTTTAATGCTCAAGCTTGCATCTTCTAGTGTTCCATCTATTAGGCAGGTGGCTCCAAAAACTGCACAGAAAATTGCACAGAAACCAGATGAAGCATCAACATTGGCATTAGTACTGCGCCTGGCACCAAAGCTGTCAACATCTCAGAAATGGAAGCAAGGTGCTGGAAGAGGCTTTCTGAGACATGAGCTTGAGAAGGAGCTTGGTCGTCTCATAGAGAGACAGGAGGATGTTGGGTGACAAGTCATCCAAGTCCTGCAGGGCATTGAAGATGGATGAAAAGAAGCAGACTCCACTGGGCCTGGCATCAGAAATACTCCCCTGTGGATGTTGACTCTGGCACTGACAGGATGGACTCAGGATGCACCAGAGCCACTCTCAGCATCACCTGCACTCATATTGCCTTACCAATCAATGCTAACTGTAGAGTAGATGTACTCCTCATAATACCCGGGACATGCCCTTTTGCTGGTGTCCAGCAGGGACCCATCTCTGCTAGTGTCTGAATGGTGCCACCAGGAGACCCTGAGAGTCTCTACAGCTCTCAACCACTAGCATGCCAGGATTGGCGCTGGTCTGGCCTTCAACCTGCTGCCCTGTCTGTACACATATGAAACGCTACTTTAACACTGATGGGGCTATAGAGGGCCCACCAATCACTGGCTGTTGTGGAAGAGGAGGAGCCCCTCCCCCCCCATCCCATGGCTTTGTTAGCAAGACCTCAGTCACTGGAATACAGAGAGAGGAGCTAGATCAAAGCTTTCACTTTCTGAGGACCTCTACTCGTCATCCGTGGACAAGGTGGTAGCCTCTGCAGTGAACAATTTCAAGGCCTTTCAGGAGTTCCTGATCCAGATTGCAGTCACCTTGGTTTCTCTACAACTCTCTGGCAAAGCTCCCTCATGAAGGGAGAGAAGAGCTGAAAGATATCCTAAAAGGAATTTTTTTTCACACAACGCACAGTCAGCCTGTGGAATTCCTTGCCAGAGAATGTTGTGAAGGACAAGACTATATTCAGATGTCCAGTCAGCCTCTCCTATGTCTTCCCACCTGTCTGGGCATGATATCACAGAACCAGGGTCAAATATTGCAACCAGACACATAATCATTGCACATGTTGTCTGGATGAGCAGGACCGGGAAATTATTTTACAAAGCTAGGAACCTTCCACCAGGAAAACTGTTCCTCAAAGTGGAAAAGATTTCCCATATGGACAGCCCAGAACTATGTGAATTCAGTAGAGGCTCTGACAATAAAGATTCTGGACTATATACTTCTCCTGATACAGGCAGGTCTACTGTCTAGCTCCCTTAAAATCCATCTTGCAGTAATATTGGCGTCTTATGCCCCAATAAAGGCTCCTTCAGTCTTGTGTGCCTCAACGGTCTTCTTCATACCTGCCCTCCATTTAGAGACCCGACTCCCATATGAGAGCTTAATGTTGTTCTCCTACAGTGCCCATCCTTGGCTGCCGGACCCCCAGTTGCAGGGTTTGCGGGGGAGTTTTTGCTTTATTATGCCTATGCAGGTTCCAGGTTGGCTGAGGAGGTGGTATGTGCTATTCAGCTTCCTGAGTTCATCAGTAATCTCCCAGAGAGATTACTAAGCAACCCAGGAAGCTGAGTAGCAAATACTGCCTCCTCGGCCGCCCTGGAACCTGCATGGGGCATATCTAAAGCGTCTTTGCGAGAGTGAAATGCTTTTCCCCAGGGCAGCTTAGGGTCTGGAGAGGGGAGGCTGGCCCACGGCTCCTCCAGCCGGTGGGGGTGGGGGTGGCACTCGGGGCTCTGGCGGCGGGGGCGGGTCAAGGAAGGAAGGGGCAGAGCCGGGGGCTAGCCTCCCAAGGGGAGTTCCACCCACGAGACCAAGCCTTTCAGATTTTCTCTGTGCTTCTTCGTGGCCATATCCAGCACATCGAAAGGCCAAGCCATCTCATCCCAGAGAATCTCAAAGGGGATCACACTGTGTATTTCCACCTGTTATTAGTTGGCTGGTGAGCTGCTCCCTCTGAACCTCAAGGCACACCCCACTAGGGCATAAGCAACATCCGTGGTCTGCTTCAGAAAAGTGCTGATCTGTCCGGCAGCCATGTGGAGCAGCCCATTGGCTTTTATTATACCCTTGACATGGCAACCAGAGCATATGCTAAGTTCGAAAGAGCTGTTCTTCAATCAGCCATTTGATTGATACTCCTTACTCGCATGTCCTGAGAGCATACTGCTTGCCAGCCACCTACAGGGGGAACCAGACTGACGCATACCCAGAGGGGGAGATCAGCACTAACAAAGGTTATGCAGATATGACTCAATGCACACATTTCTTGAGTAACAATGCCCCATTTTTACATAGTCACTTTTAAAAATAGAGCTGCACTTTAATGTTTCCATTAATGTATTCTTAATTACTGTAGCTAACTCCTGACAGTTCCAAAAGTAGACTGAGTGACTGATTCATAGACATTATTTCATACTTTAACTACCTCAGTAAAAATGTATTTATGTACCCTGCAGTACCTATGGTTCTTTGAGGTGTTGTAGTCGGTGTGGATCCCATGCCCTCTGTCCCTGCTTTTTGCCGTCCTCAGCAACACAGGCTTTGACTTGTGAGGAAGATACAGACACGTGCACTGACTGACACTAGCATTTAAAAATCCCAGCCTTGTTCACGTGAGGTGTGGGTGCACCTACAGTGGGATCCACACTGGTTACATAATCTTGAAGAACCACAGTTACTGTGCAAGGTAAGTAACTGTTCTTTTTTTAGCTCTTGAAGAGGGTTTCTGTTCTGGCAGAATTGTTTACCATGGGTTGGGCTTCATTTTAAATACTGTGTTTTCTTTTGAAGTCTGAAGCCAACAATGACATGCCAGTGGAAGTACACGTCAATTCAGGTGAAGAAAGAACCATGAAGTAGAATGCGCCATCACTTCCCATCAAACAGGTAAAGGACAAGGATTGGTCACAATTGTTTCTCAAGAGTCTGGGCAAATGAAGGCAGTGTTGTCCTGTGCTCAGAGCAGGAGATGTGGAAGTGACTAGAGTTCTGTTTCTGACTTTGCTACTGACTCATTGTATAACTGTGGGCAAGTCACATGACCACTCTAGCCTTCAGTTTCCACATTCCTGGAATTAGGGTAATCAACCTTTTTAAAGCAGGTTAAGATCACAGGACAAAAAAATGCTATGTAACTGAAGAGTATTACTGCTGTTTATTGTTAAAAATGTAGAATAATCTGTGGCATGAATGAGGTTTGCATTAAACTCTGCTGCCTCTACATTTTTATTTGATAAGATAGTGGACCTGTTTAAAATGTACATATCATAGTTCTATAGCCAGCCAATTTTTTAAAGTGCTGCTTTGAAGTTTGCAAATACAGTAGAGAAATGTTTGGTTTGGTTTTGTCTGCAAGATTGACAGTGTGGTTGACAGATGCAGTGTCAGTTCTCTGGGCTTACCTGCCAATACACTCATCTTTACCATTTTCATCTGTGTTACACAAAAGAATGATTCTACTCTAGAAAGTGACTGTAAAAGTGATATTGTGGGTTCGTGTTTGTTTCTCAAAGACTTCTGTATCAAATAAGCTCAGTTTACAAGCAAAATGTTCCTCCCCCACCTCAACTGCCAGCCCTGTAAACTCCATCTAGGTTTGAAAAACAGGTTGAGGTCATTGAATTTCATGAGTCATCAGCACTAACAAAGATTCTGCAGATATGACTGAATGCACACATCTCTTGAATAACAATCCCTTATTTTTACATAATCACTTTTAAGAATAGAGCTGCACTTTAATGTTTCCATTAATGTATCCTTAATTACTGTAGTTAACTCCTGACAGTTCCAAAAGTCGGCTGACTGATTCATAGACATTTTCATACTTTAACTACAACAATAAAAATGTATTTACCTTTTTCAAAATAGCTACATAAAATAGAAATAAACATGATAAGAAAGAGGAGAAAAGGTTTGGCTTGAGTGAGAGGCATGGGGGAAAACAAAGGAAGAGGATGTGTAATTAAAATATTTTTTCATTGTGAATTAGGAAAGATCTAAATGCTACAAAAACATTAATATTGTCTTCTGTATATAAAGATGCATCTGCAAGTGTCAGGTTAATCAGAAACATGAAATTGTCCTTCCAGTACCACTAGATATTTTATATACAAATAGACCTATTTTCAGCTGTTTTTATTTCACCTTTTGAGAACTTACCTAAATTATTTGTTTCTAATTAAGCAAAGGGAGGGGGGAATCATACTCTTAACATTCACTTTACACATTTATGTTTTTCAAAGCTCTGTTCCCAAAATCTATCAGTCCCAGTACTGGACTCACACTATGCAAATAAGTTTGAACAACATCTCTAGTGCAAGCTGGTGTCTGAAGTCCTGATTTGTGAAGTGTCTCTGGTGTCCATTTTATTTACTTAACACTTTTAAACATTTAATTCTTTAAATATGTTTGAATGGTTAAAAGGGGGAAGTGTAGCCTTTGAAATACCACTTACTTTTCCATAAGTTATCTGTAGAGACGCTACAATTAACTTTTTATAAATTGAGCCACTTAAAAACCTCAGTCCTTGGCCTGAGAGAGATGGGGAAATTCTGTGTCTTTTGTCAGCTGTGCTGATAAATGGCTGGTGAATTGTGATCACTGCTTAGATTAGAGTCTATAGACTTTGCTTGAGTCAGGGCTTTTTGTTAGATTTGGGTAATCCCAGCGCTGGAGATCAGTACTGTAAGCTTTTAACAAAACACATTTTTTCTACTTACACTGCTTAGGATATATGCTTAAGTATGTCAGATTGTGCTTTTTTTCTTTTTATTTCATTCTCCTTTTAAGTCACTTGCAATACTAATATTTGAATCTGGCTACTAAAATAAGGCAAAATCAGGCCCATTGATGGGGAGGGGCAAAGGGGGCAATTGCCCAGGGGCCTGGGCGATTTAAAAGGGCCCGGGGGCCCCCGACCGCCACTGCTGCAGTAGTGAGGGCGGTGGCCAGGAGCCACAGGCCCTTTTAAATTACCCGGGTGGGCCGCAGGGCCCGCTCTGCTGAAGCAGTGGGCTGGGGAAGTCGGTGGCTGCCCCACGCCACCCCTGCAAGGAAACGTCTCCTCTCCGCTGCGGGCCCCAGCACCAGGCAAGTAGGGCTGGGTGGTGGGACCGCTCTGTGTGCCCAAGCTTCAGTTAAAAAACAACAAGGAGTCCAGTGGCACCTTAAAGACTAACAGATTTATTTGGGCATAAGCTTTCATGGGTAAAAAACCCACTTCTTCAGATGCATGGAGTGAAAGTTACAGATGCAGGCATTATATAATAACACATGAAGAGAAGGGAGTAGGGAGCTTCAGTTGTTCTGTCCCCTAGGACTGTACTGGGAGAGGGGATCCCTGCTCTGTGCTGGCTCAGCAGGGCTGGTGAGTGCGGCCAGGGGGCAAGGCATGGGGGAGTGGGTCTGTGGGAGTGTGTGGTGGGCTGTGAGGGGGTGGGGGCCGCTGGGCAGTGGGGGAGGTTTGTGTGTTTTGGAGTGCTAGACACTGGGGGGAGTGCTTGGCGGGGGGCGGCCTGTATGTGTTAGGGTGCTAGGCAGTGGGGGGTCTGTGTGGAGTGCTGTGCAGTTGTGGTGGGGCTGTGGGGAAGGGCTTTGGGTTGTGCAGGGTTGGGGAGATCTGTGTGTGTCGGGGCGCTAAGCAGTTGCGGTGGGGCTGTGGGTGGGGGGAGTGCTGGGCAGGGATGGTGGTGTGCAGGGTGCTGGGGCTGTGGGCGGAGGAGGCTGGGCATAGGGGTTGGCAGGGGTTGGTTGGGGGGGCTGTGTGGTACGGCATGGGCCCGCCCCAGAGGGGAAGGGCATGCTGGCAGCACAGGGCTGGGTGGGCCAGTGGGCGTCAGGTGGCTGCCAGTCTGTAAACAGTGCTCTCGCACTTGGCTGGACAGAGCGGGGCCGCCCCATCCATGTCATGCCCCATTGCCCCTGGCCGGCCCCTCGCTCTTGGTACTGACCTCCCCGCACCATGTTCTGTTGCTCCTGTGTGGAGCAAATATGTTTGGCACCGGGCCCACAAAAGGTTAATCCGGCCCTGGCTCCGAGGCACACGCGGGGTGGTACCAGTGGCGGCGAATGCAGCCAGGCGGGCACATCCCTTTCTAGGGGGCCCATTGACTGTTCCGTCCTGGGGCCTGGAATTGCTGTCCACAGGCCTAAGCAAAATCCTGCCCTCACTCATCTGAACTTGCTATAGGATAGGTCTTTGGGTTATGCTGTTAGGACAGAATGACTTTGCAGCGATGCTGTGGAGACCCCCTTTAGCAATGTTTCCCAAATGGTGGGTTCTGGGAAGAGTCTCAGTGCCCCAAAGACACCCCCAAATCCCACAATCTCACTTCCCCTAGGCAGCAGGCAATGCCAGTGTGGAGGAAGCAGGCAGAGGCGAAAAGTGGATAGTCAGCAGCCTGGTTAGACAGGAGAGAGAGGTGATGGGGCTGCAGGAGGGGACAGGGCTGGGAGAGGACAGCATGGGGGCTGGGAGGAGCTGCGCAGTGGGCTTGGGCTGAGATGGGGAAGAAGAAGTGGGGGCCTGGAGAAGGGGAACCAGGGGGTAGTGGTGTATCCCCAAAATTAATGTTTACTATTGGTTCTTCATCTATCTAATTTTGTTAACTTTAATGCAGTTACTCTGGATTTACACCAGTGTAAATCTGATTAGAATCAGGCCCTGTATATTTAACAGGTGTGAAAAATTGTTCAGTGGTAAAAGGTATTGGTTACTCGAATTCAAGTTGGGATGTATTGTTGGGGAGTGCACACCCCACTTCCTATGTTCCCCAACCACAACATTCCCCAGCCAGAGGAGCAAAGTTCTCTGTGGCTTATGTGATAGTTATAGTTCTATATGAGCTCCTTGCAGCAGGGTTTTGCTGTGTGCTTTGTACAGCACCTAGCACAATGCATTCTACTATAATACCAATAAGTAAATCACTGCACTACAAAGATATCCTGTATTTATCAGCATGTGCCTTGAGCAATTGCTGGTTAAATTGCAAACCAAAATAAGTATGTGTTTAATTGCAAATTAGCAGTGGCAAAAAATAAGCCTATGATATTAATTTTATTTCTTCCCCTTCTTTGGACACAGGTGCATAGAAGATTTAGACAAGATCAACATTTTTCTAGAGAGAGAGAGAGAGAGAGAGATGACTGAAGAATCTGTTTTGATTACAAGTATAGTTAACCTGTGTTCTGCCTCAGGAAGGACTGACTTTGCACTGTCTGGTACTCTGGTATGGATTCTCTGTGAATGGACACTGCCTAGGATTTGTCAGCATGGAAACTTTTAAGCCTCAGTCCTGCAACAGCATCCAGAGAGCTTTAAGAGTCTGCCCATGCAGAGCCTACTGGAGGATCAGCACTGCAAGTAGCAAGTCTCAAAACTCCTCAGTCTCTCGTTACTATTTATATACATAATTAAAATTAAAATTCAATAAATTTGTCATGCTTTTTTTCCTTTCTCTTCTCACATTCTTTAAATGAACTTAATATTCTCTGATATTTGCACTGTTTCTGAAGGGAAGTAAATTAGAATGATTCTCAGGGCCAGCTAACAATGTTTATTTTTTTTTTTAAACTGGGGGGGGAAAGCATAAGTAGCATGTCAGTAGTGTAACATTGGTTAACAGATTATCAATGAAAACAATTACAATGACCCTCTGTTTTGTCTGAGTCTTCCCTCTTTTTTTTATACAAATCTTCTGCCTCATCTGTTCCAGTGGGAGGTATATAATGGAGCATCTGTGAGTTCCTTTCTAGTAGATGGATGGGAATGGAGTTGTTTATGTTTGTTCCTTTTTTTGCTTGAATGCACAGCTCAGTGAGGATCGGAATGTTGTGTTGGTGGGAACCAGCTATAGCATAACCGGTGACTGTTTCCTTATTCTCAGCCAGGCGGAGGAGAGACTGTGGAACAAAGGGAATGCAAAAGGATTTTCAAGATTTCTAAATGGTTCTGTGCACAATAGATACCCTTTTCATTATTTGCTGCCACATACATTAATCATATCCAGAGTGAGAGATTCTTTGAAGATTAATGAAATGTCAATAGCTCACAGCATTTAGCCTTTGTTAGTGGGACTTTAATACTTGCAAATTAACTCAAACGGGTATATGTAAAATACCCTATGCAGTGCTTGGCATGATTTAACATCCTAAAAAGATCAGGCAAGAGGATAAAAGCAAATTGGGTCAAAAAAATATTCAGCTACTACCTGGCAAATGTTCTTGCTGCGTTTATTCCATGGATTATGAAAAAACACAAATTTTGCAATACAAATATTAGCTTGTGGGGGGATATTAATCAGGGCCACCTCTACAGCTCAGCCAGAGTGCATATGGTTACCTAGAATCATGTCCCAGCAAAACGTTCCACACATGTTTGAGCAATTGATGCTGGATTGGATGGTTGTGCCAATTCACTGAGGGACGCGGAACCCCTTTTTTAGCATGAAACTGCACAACAGTCTTTGGTTTTATCCGGCTATAGAGTACTGAAGTCGTGTTTCTAATGTTAGCATATTTAAAAAAAAAAAAACTCAGACCAACCCAACGGAATTCATCCACCAACCTAGCAACTGCCTCTCCGGGAGGTGGATTACCTACACCAATGGGAGAACCCCTTCTGTTGGCATAGGTAGTGTCGACACTGAAGCACTACAGCGGTGCAGCTGCAGTGCTGTAGCTGTGCCCCTGTAGAGTTTCAAGTGTAGACAAGCCCTCAGTGTACTCTCTCTTCCATCACGTAAGTCTAACAAAACACTCACTGTTTTTTTGTTCCAGTGCACACCACTCCAGTACAAATACAAATTGCTGCTTCTCTGGTTCAGGAGAATAACATCTGGTATGTGTACTTTTCTCCCAGAGAAAACAGTTAGTTCTGGTTCAGTTAATTAGAAAAGCAGGTGTAGGTGCATAAATCAGTAGTGTTAGGCATACAGTACATAATACCTTTATTCTTGGTGCAGAATGTATTGTTACATTATTTTAAAACAACATCCAGATGATTCAGAGATTTTGCATCAGTATTTGAAGAATACAGTGGTTTGAAGAATCCATAACTGTAGTATTTTGTATAGTACCCAAATCCCCAAAGAAGCTTGAAACTAACATTGCCAGAATGTATTTTCCTACATCTCCCATATTCTGATTTGTTTCTGTAACTTAACAAATGTCTTGTGTTCAGCACTGTTCAGATGTGTAGGTTGTGGAGGGTTTAAAGCTACTGCCCCTAACATTTTCTGCTTGTTGGCCATTGGCCTGATTTTTCAAAGGTGCATAATTTGCTTTTAAGTTAATTTGTGAGTGCTTGACCCCTGATGGAATTGGGCCATTCCAGATCTTTCTTTAAAGCCATCACTGCAATTTTGTATTTAGACTATTTATATTCAAAGACACACAACCTGTTTTACCAATCTGGCTGTCTCAGGTGTAAAATAAGTGTGGTGCCTTGGCTTAGTCTGTTTATTGATAGGAACAGAAAATGAAGAAGATTAGCACCAGGATTTAGATGCTCAGATACCACAGAGATGAGTGCAGTATAGATGCGTGGATAGACTGATAAACAAGAAAGGGTTAACAGCATGGAAATTACTATGGTTTAAATATCTCTTTCTGGATGTAATTAATGAAAGATTGCAAAAAGAACAACAGAAGAAATGGTTGTGAAAATTAACAATTGCAAATATCTCCACAATCAAGATGCAGGTACCCAAGTTAAAAATGTAGCTTTCCTTGCAGCAGTGAAGGAACTGCAGTAACAAGGAGGGAAACCAGAGCTGCTGCAGATGAACAGGACCATCATGTGGATGGTCCTCTGCAACCTACAGATTTTGGGGTATCGGTGTTGTGTATTCTGACTCCTTTTTTCCATTGGAGGGAGGGACAGATAGACAGACAAACACACACACTTGTGCATGGCAGAAGCTTACAAGGGTAATTTTTGTGGGTATTACTGTACAATAGGGATGATCTAGACTTAAGTTACTAAGATTTGAAAATTTAGCCATTGTGTTTGTACAGTAACTTTAATTTTCAATATCTGTGTGGGCTTTACCATGGTGGCTTCATGTTATGACCTATTACACTGATAACAATTAAGGTGAATTGCCTGAAATGTGCATCCAGATTTGTTAACTTGAAATACCTTCATTCAGCTCCAGAGCTCAACATCTGCTTCTGCGAAGAATTTATCATCCTACCCTTCCGAGAAAATTAACCACATCTGCCATTGTCTCTTGGGACAGACATCTGGACCTGTACACTGGATACTGGCTTGTTAATATAATGCCTTCCTTCTCTACATTCAGTCCATTCACAGGGAAGAGGTCTCAACAAAGATGGATAGGATTTGGAGGATTGTAGAAACACCCCCTTCACATCAACCAGCAGCATAAGGTGGGATGGAGAAGAGACAGAAAGCTCTTTCTTTTTCAGCAGCTAGGTGATGGAGCAGCCAACTTATTAGGTGATGTGAAAGATGCAAGTTGCAATGGAGAAGTTGTAGGAACAGCACCCTCCCGCTGTCCAACGGTTTTGTTTTGTTTTAAAATGAAATGCTATAATAAAGCTAGCCAGTGTATTCACTCAGAAAGCAAGAAAATAAAGTTTCCTATTTTTCTTCTGGGTTGAGTTTACAAATCAATTTTATGTAAATTTAGCAACTTGAAGCCTCACTTCCTTTTATAACAAAGCCACTAAAGGAGCATTTCCTTCTTCAGACAGCATAGCTCTATGCAACCTGTACTTTCCAGTTTATACCATGAGTCAGAAAAGTAAACTTTGTACTTTTGCTTCATCAATGTGTACAAAGAGTTGTAACTTAACACAGTGCACAAGATTCTTCCTTGAGCTCATTGGGAATGATGCCAGCTTAGTGTCCAGGCTTGAATTTGGCACAGTGTTTTTGATCTGGATTGTTTTATATCTTAAAATCATTGTTTGCAAATGGCTTGAACTAAAACTGTCTGGTAAAAGCAATGAAGCTGGCCTAAAGCAGTATGTTGCCATCATGTACCAGACTTGACACACTTTCCATATCCTGCTAAAGACGTGAATTAGCTCCGGGCCCCCTCAGTGAGTCATTAAGATCTCTGGAGGGAATGCCCTGCTCACGCAGTACTCCCTGCTATCGAGTTCAGACAGGCATATTGCTCAACAGTATTGTGTGCACACTAAAGAAAATGAAGAAGACAAACAACTTGAATAGTTATTGAAGAATCCTGTTCTAGTATTGACTGTGGCAAATGGATTATTTCAATTGTCAGTGGTTAGTTGCCAGGTTACTGATAAAATGGTATGTTGTACATTGTCCTTCCTTGGGTCCTCTCCATTTGCACCTAACAATAACAAGATGCTGCTTGGCTGTCATCCATTTCTTTGCCAGCCAAGTTCAAAAGGAACTGGAGCCAAATCATACACAGTCTTTGGCTGCCTACTAATTTAAGAGCTTGTACAGCACCCAGCCTCCATAAGGATATGTCCATGGGGCCTTACAGATGTTGGCTGTACATTAGCCTTCATGGCGTGAGATCAGTACAATCTGTCCTTAAAGCAAAATGCATAGATGCTAAAGTCAGCAATTGTGTTTTGGCCATGAAGCATTTTCCAGGAATGAATAGTAAAGGGGAAAAAAAAACTTAGCTAGTGAAAAAGAGGTGAATTGTAATGGCATATATAGGTTTTCTTTTTCCACTAGCAACACTCTTCTTCTAAAGGCTGTTTCTCAAAGGCTGGATAAGTAAAAGGTGCTTCTTACATGTGTTTTATGTATTCTATGCCTCTGTTTCCTAAGTGTAAAATGGGACTCCCTACTAGCCTACCAGAGGGTTTTTTTTTGATAGACTAATTGAAGAATTTTGAGAATCTTAGGGGCAAGGTGCTCTAGAAATGTAAAGTATTACAATATTAACATAGATCACAGAGTCGGCTCATGGCTAGCCAATCAATAGCTCAAAACACTAGTGAGGCAGGAAGGCAAAGAGCAAATTATTTTAGTTCTCTGTTGGGCAAGCTAAGGAAGTAAAAATATGCAGAGATCTTACATAAAACCCTAGTCTCTTGTATTAATCATGCTTTGCACTTTCATCTGAGACTGAGTGCTCTATTAGCATTAATATATTCACAG